CGCCCAAGCCGGCACCCTCGACTTCCAGACACGGTTCGGCCCCACCTTCTTCCTCCCGCGCCGCGTGGCCCGCGCGGAGACGTACGACTACCACCCGCCGCTGCCGCTGCCCGACCCGGAGGCGCCGAGCAGTCGCTCGGCGACTGCGCGATCTGCATGGACGCGATCGAGGTGGACGACGGGATGCGGCGCCGGAGGAGCAAGTCGCGCGACGGGCTGCTGGGCGGGGGCGGGAGCGGGGCGGAGGAGCGCGCGGGCTTCTTCCGGAGCGTCGCGGGGAAGGGCGCGGCGAGGAAGAGCTACAGTCTGGCGCCGTGCCACCATCTGTTCGTGAGTCGCCGGTTTGGATTTGTGGCTTGGGGGCGGTTTGCTGATCGGTTGCGGGTCCCCTTCGGCAGCACACTGCGTGCCTTGAGCGTGTGAGTGCCGTTCACTTGGTTGGAACGCATGCTGCAGTACTGATGTGCACCTCTGGACTTCTTGCGGTGGCGTGTGCAGTGGTTGGCGATCAAGGTGAGCTGGCTTCCGTGCGTTCGGGGTGCTACGAGCCGTCGCTGACGAGGACGGGATAGAACATCTGCCCGCAATGTCGTCGGCCGTTGCCGCCTCTGTAATCTACGGATACACTAATCGGACGCTAATGTCACCCCTGTACTCGTGCAATGCAATACACCCTCGGACTTTTGGATCTATCTCACGCCGGGGAGCATTGGCTGCGCACTCCACTGAGACTTCGATATCAAAGCACAGCTGATCTGGGCGACGCGCGACATCGGAGGCTTTCGGGTGTTTCCTACGGGGCATCAGCGTCCTGATCATAAATAACGCCGCAGCCGCAGGAGACGGGCACCATGGGAGCGCTGCTTTTCTGCCCCGCCGTCTCTGCTTACGTCTTGCGTCCGTGAGACCGCGTGCGACACACTGTGAGTTTGTGGGAAGGCATGAGGCTGCATGGGCTGTGTCGCAGAGGAGCTCAGGACTTTGTTGCGAGCGCAGCGAGCCATTCAGAGGCTAAGGTAGTCCCGGCGCAAACACGACTACGTCAGGTGACCTTGGCGCCGTCACGCTCGTCTGACGCCGGGGCCGTTTGGCACAGGGAGCACAATGTAAATCGATAGGATACTCAGGGTGCACTTTATCCGTTAAAGCGTTCTACGGAAGTTGTGAAACAGATGTAATTCATATATTCGTAAAGCAGAAGTGCAAAATGTGAAGTTCAGAGAGGAGATAGTTCTGCACTGAGAAGGAGTATAGGTAAGTCAATTTCCATGGGCTACAGGACGCAGGCAAATACTGTGCCGAATGCTGTGGCGCAAACTGGACTTCTACAGCTCTTCCAATATCGTTAGGCCGTTTCGCGCAGGAGCGCGAGTGGGGTCGCGTTTAGTTTTGGAGCAGGCATAGCGCGTAGCCCCTCGCGCACCACCGCAGCGCGAGTCCGAGCGCACCGCCGCGAGCACTGCTCGCACGCGGCGATGTCTCGTGTGCACCCCGTGCGCATAGCTTGTGCTCGCGCGCGAGGGCTCACGTCCAACTTCCGTCAGGACTTGAACGTAGGGCATAAGTGCCCTTGCACCAGGTGGAGAGGCCATTCCACATGTGATGTGTCTATCCGGTGATCATGCTGTTGCCCCACCTCGCCAGGCTATGCGCGAGGAGTCTGCGGCGCACTTAAGATATCGCCACATGCGTGCGGTGCTCGCGGCGGTGCGCTCGGACTCGCGCTGCCCGTCGCGCGTGGTGCGCGAGGGCGTTAGGCGCCGTGGCCTGCTTCATTTAAAACTAAACACGCGGCCCCAGTATACTCGCGCTCCCGCGCGAGAAAGGCCTATCGATATTGGAACGGCTGTAATATTAATCCTACACGCATCCTTTTCCTTATGGTCTCCCGCACTGTACTGACTCCGATACACTTTACCCACTGTGCGCCTTTAGTTGAGCGCGCCAATGATATCTTCAGCGCGAACAGATAACTCCTCCTCACGTGCTCGAGTCACGGATTGTGACGCCCATCACACGTAGTCGTGTTTGCGCCGGGACCACCTTAGGTGAACGGCGATGCAAACAATGACAAACAGACGGTTTAGCGCCCTACTCTGAAACGCTCACTTCGCCTCTGTTTGATGTAATTCTCATGTATATCTAGCTCTTGTCATGTTACAGCTGGTAACAAATCGATAGATTTCCGCACACGCGGTGGAGCTCGAAAAAAGCGACGCTTGCGCGAGGCGGCCAGGGTCGCTCCCGCTTTGCTCTGTTCCGCTGCTCCTGTGCGCGCGCGCGGTCGCTGCACTGACTTTGCAGGTATGAGTGCCACTGCATTTTAGAATATGTAGCACACGTTGCTGGCACTGCATAGCGAGCGATGCCGTGTCCCACAAAGGCTAGTTATGACTACGAGCTTAGCACGCTCAGGAAAAAAGAGTTCAAGAGAAACCTGCTCCTGGCGGTCTATCCGCGGCTTACGAGATCGCGAGCGAGCAGTCTTGACGACACAGCTCGATGACCACCGCTCGTACGACTGGCTCGGTGGACAAGAAACGGTGCGGGCGAAGATGCAGGGGACGGACGGGACGATCATGAGTGCAGTGGTAAAGGTGGTGTGCGAAAGAAATGGAGGTGCTCGAATATATATACAAAATCGGGTCGTTCCCGAAGCACGCGAGAGAGAGAACAAAGGCGGTGAGTCAGAAAGAATCCATGCGCGAGCCTTGAAGACATCCGAGCGAGGTCAGTCTTGCGTAGCGCTGGGCCAGAGCGCCGGCCCGTCCCATGACAGTTATTCCTCTCTGCTCGGACCGTTTCAGTGGAGATTGTGCAGGCTGAAGGTTGCACCGTGACGCCAGCTACTTATCCGGGGAAACCGGTGTCGGGAGCCAGGTGTCCGCCAAGCCCGATGCGCCCTCGATACAGCTGAAGAGGCTAGGAGCGAGGAGGTAGTGTCGATGCCCAGACGAAGCCCGGAGCCGAGAGGGACGTACGGGGGCCCACAGGGACGGTAGAAGCCCATAGAGGGGACCACGCACGTCGATCTGGACAGCCAAGTGGATTAAAGCGTCTCCGCATGGCTGGAGAGCAGTGGACCTACAACCTGCGAGCCCGGGCCCGCGGGTGTGGTAAATGGTGACCCGCGTCGCGCGCTTTCGGCCCAGCCACCTTTCCTCTCGACCACCACGTTGCCCGCCCTCGTCCGCTCGCCGTCGACGTTCAGGCTCGCACAGTCGCCGTGCAGAAGCGTGCAGACCAATATGCCCATCCTCAATGGACGTCCTTGTTTCAATATCGCCGGTGAGAGAACGGCTGGGATCGCGCCGAGACTAAGCGGTCAGGTGTGTTCGGGCGCCTTGAAGGTTGATGCTGCTTGAATGCGCCCTGTAACATAGCGACACCGCCCACGATCAAGGGCAGCCCTGGGCAGCCGCTGGGAGCGTCGAGGGCAGCCCCCAATCGCGCGGCGTGCGCCGTTTGTCGTCCAATGGTGTGGCGCGGTCCAGGATCGCGGTACGCCCCTCCTCATCTTCGCTTGTTCACGTCTGCCAGGTGCTGATCTGTGCTGATTCGCCCGTTCCCCAGGGACTGCGCCCGATTGGCCTGCGCGCTGGCAACCACATGTTGTGCGAGATGTACGCGTTCTCGCTAGAACGCCTAGATAGATCCGTCGCTCACAAGCATGCCACCGGCAGCCACCAGCAGCCAGTCGGCGTGAAGTTGCTCCGCGTCTCCAGCGAGGAACCCGGGGCCGCAAGCGCTGCCGCATCCGAGGGGAGACGTACAAAAGCCCCGCCCGGGCTCACGATAGCTCTCCACCCCCCGTCTTTCTCTCCTGCAACGCACCGAGGCCGGATCCTCTTCACAGCCCCAGTCTGCTGGTCACCGCTTGTTCTCCTCCAACTTCACGTTCAGTTCAAGCTCTCCGGTCTTCGCCTCTAGCCCCGCCGTTCCTTCCTTTGACTTTTGCCACCTTTAAGACCCAAACTCTCTTTCTCTTCCACCCGAAGTCTGGCACTATGTTCTTCTCCTTCAAGCCCATCCTCGCCACCGCCCTCGTCGCCCTGACCCTCTCCCTCGAGGTCAGCGCGCACGCGCTCATCTCGCCCGCCTCGGCGTGAACGGCAACGGCGCGCGCGCGAACGTCCAGCGTCCGTCGACCAAGTCCCCCTGCGGGAACGCCAACATCGCGTCGGCGTTCGCGACCTCCAAGGCGGCGACCCTTAACGCGGACGGCTCCTTCACCGCGTCGATCACGAACTTCAACGGGTAAGCATCGGCTCCTATCGATTGCGCGCACGGAGCTGAGTATAGCCGCAGCGGTGTTGACGGCTCCCGTGAAATCACCTCCGCCAAGGTCGACGCGTCTGGCACGGGCAAATCTTTCGTCGCTGCTACAGTGACACAGAACGGCGACAAGGTGCGCTTTCCGTCCTGGCTCATCTCTTCTCCGACCCGGACACACCGTTACACGCCCCTTCGCTCAGGCTCCTTCGACCACCGGCACCCAGCAGCTCACCATCAAGCTCCCCGCAGGCACCAGCTGCAAGGGCGCGGGCGGCAAGTGCCTCGTCTCCTCACCACCGCCGGCGGCTTCGGCAACTGCGTCGTCGTCCAGCAAGCGGCGCCGCCGGCGCCAACACCGGGGCCGCCACCGGGGCCGCTGCCACCACCGGAAAGAAGGCTGGCGGCAAGAAGGGCAGCGGCAAGAAGAACAAGGGGGCGAAGAAGGCTCGCGCTTTCGAGGCCATCCGCTCGTTCTTCGAGTCGCAGCGCACCGCGCGCGCCGCCGTGCGTCCTCCTTCCCGTGTCTCTCGCTCCGAGCGTCGATGGCTGACTCGGGTTGGTGTCGTTCACAGGGCTCGCGCGCTGCTTCGATCGCCCGTCGCGCCGCCGAGGCCCCCGCCGTCGAGGCCCTCGCGTAAACGGTGGTGGTGTGGTGTCCGCCCCGCCGTGGGCGGACGGATTCCCGATGACGATGGCACGCCGCGGACGCGGCGGTGCTCGGTGGGACTGTGGTTGTGTATGAGCGCGTGCGTTGCGCTCGGATGTCCTTTGAGTTGTGCAATGCGAACTCTTTGGCGTCCTCCCTCTCGAACTGATCGCGCGTGATTGGGGTGCTTGCGAGTCCGTCGTCTACTGTACGGCATGAGTAGCCTCGACCGCGCGACGTAGTGGTCGTCGCGCGCGAGAGCGAGGTTCGGACCGTCGCGATACGCCCGTCCGGTCGCTGTCCTCCGCATTCCCGTCGCCGTCGACAGTCGCACTGGAACGTGTCAAACACGTCCTCGAGGCCCGTGCGCAATCTCCGCGCCCTCCAGCCCGCGCAGTGCTGCTCGGAATAAGTACCTCCGCGACGCCGTCCGGCGGCGAGTCGTCCCGCGCATGTCGGTGCGCAGCGCGGCGGCTGCCGGCAAAGCTTGAGCGCGTCGAAGCCCGCGCTCGGCGTTTGTAGTCCAGCGCAGGCGACCTTGGGTGCGCGTCGACCGCGAAGGACTCTTCTAGCCAGGTGGAAGGGAAAGCCTAGAGGGGCGGCGAACCCGCGTGGCCAGATTGGCTCTGGGGAGCACTGGAGAACTGGAGGAGAATGCGGAGGCGGGGCTTGCGGACGATGATGGCGACCCGGGGAGATGATGAGAGGGAGGAAGCCGCCGAGCTCGAGGCAGCTAGCGGAGGTAAGCCCACGGCCGATCGCTGTGGTGCAGCGTCGGGAGGGGGTGGTCTCCACGGGGAGATCCAGCGTGTGGAGGGTCGCGCAGAGAGATGGGATCATTCGATCGTGTGGTACGTGTTTGGAGGCGGACGCGGTTGGTGATGCACATCGTCGAGGGGTGCAGTTTGATACGGTCATGGTCCGTGGGGGCGTGGCTGCGGCGGTTGTAGAGGTTCTTGTGTGTACCGGGTCCGGGTCTGGGGAGGACAGCGAGAATAATGGGCAGACAGACAAGATAAGATAAGATGGGGAAATTGGCGCGCGCATCTCCAGACCCAGCGGCGTTCCGCCGTAAGTACGCCTCGCTTCGACACAAATCCATCTGCTCCGATCATGGCGTTCTTTGAGGACGTAAACTTGGTCTCTCTTTCTGGCCGTTCGAAAACGTCTTCGTGAGTTCTGCGTCTCACTCTTACATTACAGGCAGAAAACTGGGATGACGTGTCCACTGTCCAACTCGATCCGCGAGAACGTTACAGCAGCGGCGACGGAAACAAGTTGAATGTATTATTCACCCCTTCGCGCAACTCTGCTCTTGTACCGCTGCATCTTTTAGCCCTACTCTTTCGCCGTGATTATTGGTGCACGCAACAGTCATATTGACAGGCATGTTGACCGGTCAACGCTACACAACAGCAGTGTCGGCCTTCAAGTCGCTCCGCTGTATGCTGTACAAGGCAGAGTATAGCGGAGTGTTTGAGACATTCTGCTCTGTTTTCGACGGGCACGACCAAGGGTATGTGGCCTCCGATGCAAAATGATGCGCTCATCTCAGTGATAGATTTGGACAGTTACCTGAAGACCATCACAGCATCTGGATTGACATCTCCTACAGCAATGGAGCAGTGACCACAAGATCTACTCTGCAACCTCGCAACCACCGCCCCGGAGCATATGCACACGTGCTGCAGATTCCAAATATGTGTGACGAGAATAGACTGTCCTGACAGCCACCTTGTTGATATTGATTATTGACGATCGGCGACCAGATGTATTCATAGTCATGCCCTCAAAGCGGCATCAACTGCGATCATCCTTACGACACATGATATTTATATCGGTGCAGTGTGCTGTAGTGGGTTTCAACCATCTCGGTACGCCCCCACTTATTTTCGCATGTCTGTCTACACCGTTCGACACTGATCCGCCGCTTTGACAGGCAGGCACTCCCCCACCCAATAACCCCTGCGACGCCTTCTGGCCAGGCTGACCAGAAATAGCTCTGGTTTTTTTTGGCGCAATCACTCAGTCGTCGCAAGCGTCCCACATGCCCTAGCAAGCATGTACAGCAACTTCAACGGGTGGAGATGACAATGCACCCAGACGAGATGTATAAAAGACGCGCGCGGACTCCCCATAGGTCTCCATTCCCCTCCCATCCTTCTGCTCTCTCATTCACCGAGGCCGGACCCTCTTCGCAGCCACAGTCTGCTTGTTCTCCTCCGACTACACGTTTTACACCTCACGCTCGCCACTCCCTCCTTCGCCGTTCCTTCAGTTCAAACCCGCCTTCCATTCCACCTGAAGCAAGCCCAGCACAATGCGTCTCTCCTTCAAGTCCCTCCTCGCCACCACCACCGTTGCCCTCAGCGTTTCGCTCAATGCGCACGCACACGCCATCATCACCCCCGCTCTCGGGGTGAGCGGCACGGCCGTCCGCGCGGACGTCCAACGGCCATCGACCAGCGCACCGTGCGGCGAAGTCGACGTCGCCTCGGCGTTCGCCACTTCCAATGCGGCCACCCTCGGCGCGGACGGCTCGTTCACGGTCGCCGTCACCGATTTTGAGGCGTAAGCTTTGTTCTCGTTGACATCCACACCAAGAGCCTGACTGAACACATGTGCAGGGGCGAGGACGGCTCCCGCCATGTGACCGCCGAGGTCGACCCGACGGGCACGGGCGAGTCCTTCGTCGCTGCGACCGTGACCGAGAACGGCGACAACGTACGTCGTCCCCTCTCGTCTGCCACGCACCCCCCGCTCCCCGCTCACGACGGCCCGACTCGCGTAGGTCTCCTCCTCCGCCGGCACCCAGCAGGTCACCGTCAAGCTCCCGGCGGGCACCATCTGCTCGGGCACTGGCGGGAAGTGCCTCGTCTCGTTCACCACCGGGGCCGGCTTCGGCAACTGCGTCGTGGTCCAGCAGGGCGGCACGGCTGCTTCCACTGGTGTTACCGGTCGCGACGTGGCTTCCGACGCCGCGGCCGCCTCCACCGACGCTACCGACGCCGCGGCTACCACCACCGACGCTTCCGACACCGCGGCGGCCACCACCGACGCTTCCGACACTGCGGCTGCCTCTTCCACCGCGGCTGCGACTGCCGATGCGAAGAAGGCCGCTAAGAAGGCCGCAAAGGACAAGAAGAAGGCTGCAAAGGCCGCAAAGAAGAAGGCGGCCGCCGCGAAGAAGAAGGCCGGCAAGAAGGCTGGCAAGAAGGCGAACAAGAAGAAGACGAAGGCCGCCGCTACCTCCGCGGCGGCAAGCACCGCAGCGGCGAGCGATGCAGCGGCGAGCGACTCGGCGGCGAGCGCCACGGCTGCGAGTGACACGGCTGCGAGCACCGCAGCGGCAACTGGCGCGGCGGTGAAGAGGAGCGCGTTCCTTGAGTCGCAGCGGTCGACCCGTGCAGTCGTACGTCGTGTTTTTTTCGCTTCGGGCAACGAGAGGTCGTACTGACTGGGTGTGTAGGGCTCACGCGCTCCTGCCGTTGCTCGTCGGGCGGCCGAGGGTGCTGCGGTGGAGGTTCTGGCATAGGCCTTTCACATGTCATTAGGATACATGGTATATCACGGAGGCGTCGATGTTGAACGGCGAACATGCAAAGGCTGCGGTGGGCGATTGTATCTTGAAGTCCTCGACGTATTGTGCGATGATTGAGCAAGGTTTAGTTCTATCTTTCCGTCCAGAACGACGATTGATTGTCGAACGTTGGGATGAAGGGACACAGTGCAGTGAACAGAAATAGTCAGATATCTCGCAGAAAGACAGAGAGTGATCCAAATTGATTGGAGATCCGCGTTGATGGCGAAAAAGAAAAGCAAAAAGGGCCCAATCGGGAATTGAACCCGAGACCTCGCCCACGTGATCTGGAACCCCAGACGGGAACACCCGAAGGGCGAATCATACTACTAGACCATTGGGCCGATGAATCCTGACCCCTGCTGCATGTCTTAAGACCATGGGACTCATAGCGCATTCCTCGTGAAGCCGCCACCTGGTCTCGTAACCTTTGTTTTGTGCTCACTGTTTTGTTCTTCCCCTGCTTGCGAGCTTTCCATCGACTAAGGAGTTCGGCGTCAACATGCTTCCTTTGTGCGCCGAAAGACGAGGTACTTCCATATAACTGTGCCATGGGCATGGGGCACGACCATATGGAAGAGCCTCTTAATGTTGACGTCGAGTCCTGGTGCGTGAATACGTGTGCTTGTCGGACGTTCCTAAGCCCTCGGTGGTCGCATGTTTTTCGCAGCTTCTCCCGGAGGATCCGCCGGCCTCGTTGCGCCCTCGTGCTCAATGTGACGCTACGCATATACTTCACTCGCCGTCCTCGCTTGAGGTGCCTCCTCCTCACTCTGCCCCCGCCCCCCTCTTTCCACCATGGCCGACTATCCTAACGAGGCATACCGCTCGCCCGGCCGAACGAGTCTCTACCCCGATGCCCCCCAGTATCCCCGCCAGAGCGCTGCCGGGCTTCCAAGCATACGGCGCACGCCTCGCTACAGCCGGAACAGCACTGCGCCCAGCTGGGTCTCGCAGGGAGTGCTCTCGCCCGGCCCCCATTCCTACGGCGGTCCTCCATCGTCCGCAGGGTCGCGGCCCCTCCCCGTACCCTCCTCAAGTCCCCCATCGCGCGGCTTCTCAGACTTCCAACCTGTCCACCCACCTCCCTCCGAACTGGGCCCAGAGGCAGGTCCGAACAGTGGTCACAACTCGTATCCAGGACCGCCGTCGGAGCCAGGGCCGAGAGAAGAGCGGGAGTGGGACGCAGAGGAAAACATGACCATTGGGCAGAGCGACTACGAGTACGTCGACACTGGAAACGCGCAATCCCAAGTCATCCCCGAGGACCCATACGCTGGGCCTGCAGTCACTCCGCTGTATCCCATGGACGAAGAGGAGGAGACTGAGAAGCCGAAGAGCCGGACGAGGAAGTTTGTGGGCGGATTCGTGGCTGGGTTGAAGAGACTCCCCGAGGCGATGGTACGGAGCAACTTCTACGACCGCAGCGCGACGAGGAAAGGTGCGCCCGGGATGGAGCAAGTTACTGGCGTTTCCCACTTCCTTCCCCCGGCGTACCACGAGTCGGACCCCGCTCGCCCAGGGCCATCCGCTGGCCGGTACATCCCCGCCATCCTGACCCCCGGCGCACCCAAGTCGCCCACACAGGTGTCATACGCCGATCCCCAACGCCAGTCAAGCCACGCCAGCCGTCGTACATCCCAGCCGAGCCGGCGCACCTCCATACCGATCTCCTACCTCTCCAACGGCCGGCGCAGCTCCCGCGCGCAGACGATCCAGTCCGAGTCGATCGCGGCCTCGCCGCGCTTCTTCAGCGCGGACATGCCGGTGCCCGCCGAGCTCCAGCCGTCGAACGACTACGCGAAGATGCCGTCCGCGATCCGGTTCGCGCCGCCGCGCGACGACTCCTTCTCCGCGCACGTCACGCGCGTCCAGCACTTCGTCCGCGCGCTCCAGGACCTCCCCTGGACGAGCGACCGCGTCGCGCTCGACTACATCCCCGCGCGCTCCAAGCGCGCCCACACCGGCAAGAACAAGCCCGCGCTCTCGTGGTACACCGGCACCAACGGACGCCTCCAGGACGTCGACCTGCTCGCCCCCGCCGCGGGGTCCACGTCGCACGCACGCGCCATGCAGCGCGCGGGCACCGTCACGGGCACCGTCACCCCGAGCGTGCGCTCGCGGCGCTCCGGCGCGCACGCCGTCCCCGCGGAGCGCAGCCCGCTCGGGAGCTACATGACCTCGCCCGGGATGGTGTCCTCCCCGGGCGCGTCCTCGCACGGGCAGGGCCAGCACATGATGTCGTACTCGTACTACTTCTCGCCCCCGCAGCCGCTGTACGTCTACCCGTCCCCGATGGCGTCGCCCCAGCCCCACCAGCCGCTGCCGCGCGGGGACGGCACGGGCTCGGACACGTCGAGCAGCAGCTCCGCCGCGGCCGCGGTGGGCGTCGGCGCGATGGGCCCGCCCCAGGCGGTCCCGGTGTACATGATGATGGGCCCGCCGCCGGGGCTGCTGCCCGCTGTGCCGCCGGGGGCGCACGGGGGCCATCGCGCGCGGTCGCCGCGGCCGTCGCCGATCCCGGTCATTCCGTCGCGAGCGACTTCGCCCCGCCGGACGCCGTCGCAGCATCGCTCGCGCGATGGGTCCGTGCGCAGCGGCTAGTGAGCGCACTTTCACGAGACATGACCTTTACGATCGAGTTTATGACTATGATGTTTGCGGAATGTAATGTATGCTCGTTATAGCTCGGCCCATGTTGTATTATTCCTCCTCCGTATCGTCCCCTTCGCATCATCATGGTGTCCTTACAATATCCATATATGCAGACATACATCGAACATTTTCAGGCTCATGCGATTCACCGTTATTCCTTCGCCGTCGGCCATAAACCTAGGTGCGACGGTTCATTATGAGTGTCATAAGCAGAAAATTACTACGCTACACGTTGTACAGCGATACACCTATCCAGACGCAGACAAGAACCAAAGGGTGCGCCGAACCGTGCCAGGCTCACTGCTCGCTGACGAACACAGCCGCCATACCCATGCCGGAGCCAATGCACATGCTCGTGCAGAAGATCTTGCCGCCCGTCTGCCTGGCGATGTTGAGACCAGTGGCGACTTGCCTTGCACCGGCTGTAACATGATGTAAGCCCCTGCCCGCTCGTAGGCTCCGAATGAGCACTCACTGCAGCCAAGAGGGTGTCCCATGGCGATCGCACCACCGTTGACGTTGACCTTCTCGAAGGGGATGCCGACCTTCATAACCGAGTACACGGCCTGGCTCGCAAACGCCTCGTTGATCTCGTAGAAGTCGATCTCGTCCTTCGTGAGGCCGGTGAGCTCGAGCACCTTGGGGATCGCGAACGCGGGGCCGACACCCATGATACGCGGGGGCACACCGACGGCCGCCGCGAGAACGAACTTGCCGAGGATGGGGAGCCCGAGCTTCTTCGCCACCGAACGGCGCGCAAGGATGACCGCCGCCGCGCCGTCTGAGACCTGTGACGCGTTACCTAGAAGCAATGGAATCGCGTTGAGAACTGCAAGGAAAGGGCAACAGGGCAAGTGAAGGGGTCTACTCACCCGCGTGCGTCGAACCGTCCTTCTTGAACGCGGGCTTGAGCTTCCCAAGCGACTCAGGGGTAACACCGTCCCGGACACCGTCGTCGTGCGCGACGACGACCTCCATCTCCTTCTCCGTCTTCGGGTCAATGACCTTGACCTTGAGCGGCACGATCTCGTCCTTGAACTTGCCCGCCTTCTGCGCGGCAGCGGCCTTCTGGAAGGACTTGGCCGCGAACTCGTCCTGCACCTGGCGCGAGATGCCGTAGTCGGTGGCGACGTTCTCCGAAGTGATGCCCATGGGAATGAGGCAGTCTTCCGACTCTTGGCACGCGAGCACCTTCTCCGAGAAGCCGTCAGGCATGGAACTGCCGCCGTAGCCGAAAGTCATGGACTCGACACCGGCACCTTCACCCCAGTCATTGAGCATACAGGAATCCACAGAATGCGTGACAGGACGTACCGATACCAATGTCAATCATGCCAGAGTTGATCTCGCCAGCGATGATGTTGACCGCCTGGAGACCCGATGCGCATTGCCGGTTCAGAGTGAAGATGGGGACGGTGTTGGGGATGCCGGCGTGGAGAGCAGCCATGCGTGCCGCGCTCGCCCCTCCACCGGGGGAAGGACGTTACCGACAGCAATGTCACCAATGAGGGCGGGGTTCATGCCCGACTTCTTGACGGCAGCGCTGAGGACGCCGGAAAGGATCTCTTCAGGCCGGGTGTCCTTGAAACCACCCTTCTTCGCCTGAGAAGATAGGGCACGTCAGTAACCCATTCCCAGAGTGATACATAACGTAGAAAAGCAGCAAGAGTGGGCAGGGTGACGTCCTGGGCCCCTAGCACGACGCTGGCTATATGCGCCTTTCCACCCTTCCAGCCGATGAGCATAAAACCTTGGCACAACCGACGCTCGTCCCACCACCCCGCATCGCAATGTTCGACACTGAGGGGTGAATGAAACGCACCTTGGTAATGGCAGAACGGACAGCGGCGACGATGACAACGTCATTGTCGTTTTGGGAGAGAGCGCGAGCCTTGGGAGACATGCCGGTGAGATTTTGGAGGGCCTGGGTGATGGAGGACATATGGTAGAAGAACGCGGGATGAGAGCGACCTTTAAGGGAGGGACGATGGGGGTCGGGGATGATGTGAGACAGCCCGCTTGAGCAGAGCCGGGCTCTCCAGCACCGGCGCATGTGAAACTGGCCCCTTACCCCACATCACGTGCACCACATCGTCCCCCTTGGCGTCAACGTTACTCAGCCTTCCCCGCCACATCAGCAAAATGGGTGCATGCACGACAGGGCTCTGTAGTACACTGTAGTATGTCAGATAGCGCTATCATTATTTGTAGTTCAGACGAGCAATGATCCGATAGTATCCATGTTTGGTAGATTAACGGCGGCGACGATCAGCATTCATCTGCATCTGTCGGACAAGACACCGTCCGATCGGGCATGGTCAGACGCCAGTGAACGTCAGATCGAATCCCGGTGTGTGTATGATCATTAGCTGGCCTGTATATGATCTAACATTATCTGCGCAGCCGCTATACTACAGTGCATTCTTGACCCGACAAAGACCTATCGAGTGCGATCAGACACAGGTGCTGACGTCCATTATAGACCATATAACGGGTCACCGGATGCCTGGTGCGGTACAATCCACCGAAATCATGCACACACTCATAGCAGGTGTGCAGCACAAACCATTGTATTGCTACTTTATATCAAGTAAGGTACATACTACACATTGAAGAGAGCGACAGGAAAACGTCGGATGTTATGCTGACAATGCGTAGTCGCCATGTCAGCGGGATTGAGACCGACTCTCTGTGTGCTCATACAGCGGCCGGCGGCGGCGTGTCCCTGACATTCTGCCCGAGGACCGGCCGGCGGAGGTTAAGGTCAAGCGCATGAAGCTGGTACGCCGCATGGGTGTGCATCGGGACGCGGGTTCTGTTCTTAGGCACTAAGAACAGTGTGGCGAAGAAGCTGAAGAAGCTGAACACTTGGCATCAGCGTCGGGGTTTGGGATTCGGCGCGGGAGAGGGAAGACGTACTTCCAGTCTCAGTCAAATCAGCCTCAGGCGCCGAGTAGCGCGGGGACAGTGAGCGCGACATTGAAGTTGATGGTTCAAGCGGGACGCAGTGAGCGCGGGGCGGGCGGAAGAGGAGTGGGATGGTACGTACACTGAGGACCAGCGAAGTCGCTTGCGACATGCCGACGTCGCGCTGCGCTGAGCTGTGTGTGGGCAACGTGCGCGCTCAGCGGGGGCCTCGAACCTGGGGTTATTCCAGTGGACGGCGCAGACGGAGGGGCCGAAGCTGGTTAAGGGACACGGCAACCGAGGGAGCGAGGGAGCGAGGGAGGTGGACGCGTAGGGCGTGGAGGGGTGTATCGGTTGAGCGCGGGGAGATGGACGCGTTGAGTGTGGGGGAGGCGCTCACCTGAGAAGTCGTATTCCACTCCTCATGAACCGGTTTAACACCACTGGCGGTGCCGCACTTGCTGTCTGTCGAAGATTGGCGAAGCAGGGGGAAACATAACGGGGGAAACGAGGTTCGTACTGCTGCAGTGCGGGCCCCAGTGATATAAATGTTCTTGTTAAGCGGAGTTCATGTCGACCAGGATACTGTTGCCAGATGAGCTGCGCTTGAACCGGGTGGCAACGAGGATGTACATCTAGATCACCTTACCCACTGATAGCGACACCGGCCCCCATGAGCCTCTGAGAGCCTCGTCAGCAATAATATCAACTGGCCGACAAATCCAATATCATTGCAGATATGGTGAGGGAGACGATTCCATGAGACATGGAGATCCGAGAATCTGATCAGGGCACGAGTACCGTGGGACAGGAGGTCCGAGGGTGTCGCGGAGAAGAAAGGGAGCGAAGTGGGCGAACACGGAGGGGATGAGAGGAAAGCAAGCAGAGAGAAGGATAAGCACGATGGGAACTTCGGGGATGGTGGGGCGCGAGGCTTGACGGAGAGCGCGTGACACCGGCGCGTTGTGTCGGGGTCCCTCGTGAGTCGGAGATATGGCGTGTTGTGTAGCGGCACCTTGCAGGGCGATTTTCGGGGAGGCGCGACGTAGGTGCGAAGGGCGAGGGTGCAATGAGAGCCGGCGCGCGGGCGTCTGCGATGGTGGCGGGGTCGGGAGTCGAGTCCTGCGGACGCGCGCGTGGATAGAATTGGGAGACTAGTAGTACCAGCGCCCGTACCGAGGATGTTTTGACTACACTCTAGCTCCTTCTTAGCGTGAAGAAACAAGGAATGAGTCTCATCTACCATAGTACAACTGGCTCCCCAGTGCTCTCTCAAAAAATGTCTTACCAGATTATCACCGGTCGAGCAGAGCCCTACACTACGTAAGTCGATCGTGTCCGATCATTGGACCTCCGGACCGACGATGTCTGGCGTCTGCCGAGCTGACATCATCCGCTTTCGCCGGGCGCCACAGCGCTCGATCGGGCACCCCTCGTTTTGCTGATGCACTTCCCCGCACTGAAATCACGCAGCGACCTCAGCGCCGGAACGCCCAGAAGCCAGGAAAGTTGCCAGGAAAAACGCAAGAGCAAGATGATTTCATTGCGCTTACTAATCACAGCGTTATGTTAGAGTTCGTTGCTACTGATTACTACATACCTTACCAGCACGACGCTACGGGTTCAAGGCTAGCCGGACGGAGAGTATTCTCGCCCGAATGTGGAAGATCGACGGTGCACATAGTACGAACTGCCTGTCAGGTGCTGTTCAAACCAACTCGGCTTTGGATATCCGGTTGGTGGCTAACGCTGCACGACCTGTTAGCCTCTATTCTTATCGAGACTAGTGTTCGCCATGATCGCTTTGAATTCCTTCTTTGCCTCCTCCCTTCTGCTCTCAGGCCTTCGAAGCGTCGTCCCCCTCCATGACCACCTACATCAACATGCGCGACTACAAGACGATGGACTTTTGGTTCACGGACGGCAACATCGTCCTCCTCGCCGGCGATGTCGCGTTCAAGGTCCATCGCGGGCAGCTCATTCGCCACTCCGAGATCTTCCGCGACATGTTCTCGCTCCCCCAGCCGATGGACGAGACCGTA